GGACATGGTGACCGTTACTACGGCCCGTCACCAATGGAGACGGAAGTCCACCGCCCTGCAACGCATCGGCCCAGAGCCGTTGAGGTCCACCGCGATCAGTACTATTCGCCGCGGCCCGCAGCTGCGGAGCGACCTAGAGTCGTCGAGGTCCGCCGCGACCAGTACTTTGACCAGCGGGCTGTTGTTGCGGAACGACCTAGGGCTGTTGGACTCGGACGCGATCAGTACCATGAGCAGCGCCCTGCAGCCGGTGACAGAACGTACCAATATGTCAACGTTAGTCGACGCTAACTCGCTCGAGCAACTACACTGCTCGGAAAGTGTGGCTTGCCTCCTTAACCGAACCAGTTCCTTCTCTTTGGTCGATGTCTTCTGCTTTCCCCTTATAGTCTGTCATTTTTGCTCTCTCTTTTATTTCTCTTTGTCTGGTCTTTTTCACCCTTGTCCGTTTTCCGTCCGATTTCTGTCGGCTTTAAACCTCTAGTTGAATGCAATTTTTTCTTTGTCATGTGTACAAGATCTCTAGCTCATGAAAAAGTTCGCTCCGTTAATGAGATGTCCTGGGATATGAAACGTGAGGCCTTTACGGATTTGTTTTGGTCTCCGACAGAGTTGACTACGCACGAAGAACAAAGAAAAGGGCGCAGGGAAATGGTGGGCCAATAACGTGAAAAAATGTTTCTACTTGAAAGGCTTGTTGTCCGTGCGCCGCAGTCGAAAGCACGTTTGTGGGATGTTCTTCGCGTGACATATTGATTGCTCTTGCGGCTTGATTAAAAATCATTTCTGTTTAATCCCCTCCAACTAGCATAGTGGAAACGCAGCCATGTCAGTTGCTACGAGAGTGTTGGTGGGCGGCTAACCGGGTTGTGTAAGTGGTCAGGCCTGGAAATCCCTCCCACAGAATAACTGGCAGGCAGGTTGGCAACTAACGAGGTACCTACTGTAGTAACAACAAGAATGTCAGGCGCTTGGAACATTTCTCACCTCGACTTCTTCCTTACCAACCAGCCCTTGCATGTTTTGTATTTATACTGCTCATCTATCTGCTCTCTCCTTCTCATGCCCTTCCCCCTCCCCGCCCCCACTGCCTTGCCCTTTGTCACAAACTCATTCTTCAAATCAATTCACAATCACAATGGCCAGTCCCCTTCAGCTCAAAGTCATCCCCGCATCGGCGGCTCACACCCACACCGTCGTCTTCCTCCACGGCCGCGGCGACAACACTACCAACTTTGTCGCCGCCCTTAACCACTTTCGCGATTCCAATGGTCGCACCCTCGCCGACAACTTCCCGTCCTTCCGATGGGTGTTTCCGCAGGCACCCACGCGCAAGTGCTTTGCCATCCCCGAACGCTGGCCCCAGTGGTTCGATGTCTGGGACCCGCGCGACTTTGCGGAGAGGGAGGAGCTGCAACTCGAGGGGCTGAAGGAGGTCGTGCCCCAGATCCGGGACCTGCTGGCCAACGAGGCCGCCACATTGGACGGCCGCTGGGACAAGGTCATCATCGCCGGCATCAGCATGGGCGGCGCGACCAGCGTACATACGCTGTTCAACCTAAAGGTGCCGACACCAGAAGGCCGTCTGGGTGCATTTTTAGGGTTCTCGGCGCGCTGTCCCTTTGCAGGACGCGGGCTGGAGGGTATGCGCCAGGTTTTGGGGCTGACTGATGTCCCGGATGACAACAACTTGTTGGCCAACACGCCGATTCTGTTGGAGCACTGCGTGGATGACCCTCTCGTGCGCATCCAGAATGGACGAGGACTCCGGGACGTGCTCACATCTTTTGGAGCCAACGTGACTTGGAAAGAGTACCCAGACGGAGGGCACTGGTTCAACTCTCCGTCGGGGGCTGATGATGTTGTCGCATTTCTCCGAAAGGTGCTACAGCAAAGTTAAAGACTTGGGCACTTATAGTTGCAACTTCTTATGGATAAAGCCAGCTAGACCTAACAGGTTAAGCTGGTTGGTGTTGCTGGTAAATTTATGAACTAGCCAGATTAGAATGCATAGAGAATATTAGAACAATGGACCCCAATTATTTTAGTAATCTAACTAATCCAACCCCGTTGTATTATAGTTGCCCTTAGAGTCCGCCTGACATGATTCTACTGTAGCACTGGACGCACTACCAAGAACGTACCTTCTTTATCTCTCCTGTAAATATGAGACCTTCGTCCAGGTGTCTTGTCCACGAAAGCCACATGTCGTTGAGCCAGTGCGTCCGTCCATACCAGGGACTCTGTCCTGTAGACTTGGGAATTCTATCCAGCGCCGTGAGAAAGTAGTTGCTGTTAACGTGGGTAAGAGCTGGTTCGGCTGGCATGTTCTTGTACCGGTTGATCTTGGGAACAACTTTTGCGACGTTCTTTACTTCCATAGACGCGATAACTCGGGCAAGAATTTTGGCAGTAATCTCGGCGCCGGGCGTCCACGACTGCACTGGGTATCCAAGGATATAGCCCAGATTGGGCAAAGACTCCAGCATACATCCCCGCCATGTATAGCAAGTACCAAGGTCAATGCTGGTCCCGTCCACAATCGGGCGCATACCGCTCATCAGCTGAACGAAGAGACCTGTCGCAGTAACAATAATGTCGGCTGGAATTTCCTTGCCAGATTGCAAACGAATGCCAGAAGGAGTGACTGTGTCAATCACGCCAGTCACGATTTCAGTATTCTCCCTGTGCAAGGTTTTAAAGAAGTCTCCGTCTGGCGAGACGCAAAGACGTTGCTGGTGGGGATTATAACGCGGTCGGAAGTGAATCTCTGTGTCGACATTCTTTGGGACTTCCTTCCGAATCTTTCTTGTGAGGATCAGCCGTCCGAGAGATGGAAAGCTGAGCAAGAAAACAGTGGTGAGAGTCTCAAACAACATGTCCTTCCACCAGAGGAGCCAACCCGCCCAAGCAATCGGCAGCAGAAATCGAAGCACGGCGTCGACGGGAGATTTGGACGGCAACGCGGCCACATACGACGGGCTGCGCTGCAGCATGGTGATGTGTGCTGTCTTGTCCGCCATGGCGGGAATCAGAGTAATGGCAGTGGCGCCGGAGCCAATCACGACCACGCGCTTTCCTTGGTAGTCGAGATCTTCAGGCCACCACTGCGGATGGACAACGGTACCCTTGAACTCTCCAATACCAGGTATTATAGCGTCTTGCGCCTTGTCGTAGGAATAATAGCCAGTACAGGAGAGGACAAAATTGGCATAGTGTATGCGTTGCTGGCCGTTGCTCTCGACAGTGAGTCTCCAGACCTGATCGCTCGTGCGCCACTCGCAGCGAGTTACTCGATGAGATAGGCGGATCGAGTCGAGGATACCGTCATGCCTGGCCGCATTCTCTAGGTACTCGAGTATTTGCGCGGCGCCAGCAATCTTGTTTTCGTGCGGCCAGGGATACCATTTGAAGCCAAAGTTGGTCATCATGGAGTCGCATCGAAAACCGGGATACTTGAAGAAGCTCCAGGTGCCACCGATGACTGGTCGGGCCTCTAAGATCGTAATCTTGCGATGTGGAAGCTTCTCTCGAAGGATGTGGGCTGTGTTGATACCGGACAGGCCAGCCCCCAGGATGACAATATCATGATGCTCGTCGATATCAGCCATGATTCAACGGTGTGGAAATAGTTGAGATTTGCTGTTCAGATTTCAAACATAAACGTCCCAGCTAGTAGATCAATGTGTCAAATCAATTGATGAAATCTATCGCAGCTTTGTGCGGATTAAATAAACAAAAGTACTGTGTGGTGGCAACCTCGGCCCATGCACTTTGTTGGCGGAAACGGAATATTGGAACCTTATTAATTGCCGCGATCGGACTTTAATGCGGCACCATTCAAGTCTACTTTCTACATCGGGTCGTTACCTCGGATATCGCAACGATTTGCCTACGGGGTTCGACTCATTCTATACCGTAGCGTTAGTATCAACGCGGGTTCTTGCCACCTCCAAGTGACCATTCAGGCAATGATGCTTGCATATTTTTTGACAGACGCAGCAAAATTTCAGCCTGTTTGTAGTATATTGTGATTGCTCTGAAACGATCGGCCTGTTTTGACAGGTCTTCTACAAATGGCTATCAGCGACTTTGGGAATTTGGACCGTGACCTTGCCCCAAGTCTCCCGATCTTTCAGAGAGATCAACGCATCTTTCACGGCATCAAGGCCGGTAAAGTCCCTGTCACTGAAAACCATTGGTCGGACTTTTCCATCGCGAATGAGTCCAAAAATCGCTCCCCAATTGTCTACCAAAGTACGTCTTTCGTTGTACGCGTAGGCCTCTCCGTGGAAGCCCACAAGCGAAATGTTCTTTAGCAACACCTTGTTCGTAGGGACCATCTCGACTACGCCGCGGGCGAACCCAATAATTAAAATCTTGCCATTCCACGCGGTGCATTTTGATGACGCGTTGACCAAGCCAACAGGATCAAAGACAATGTCCACACCACGATTTCCCGGGGTGATTTCCTTGACCTTTTGTGGCCAATCGGGATCGGTGTAGTTGACAGTGTAGTCTGCGCCGAAAGATTTGGGAACGTCCAATTTGCGTGCGGTCGACGCAGTGGCAATAACCGTTGCTCCGCACGCCTTTGCGACTGTCTCGGCTAGTTAGTAGATGATAAGATATGGCCACGCGGTGACGGAAATACGACATGCCTTGAATCGCAGCCAGTCCAGTACCGCCGGCCGCAGCATGGACCAAAACGACATCGTTCTTCGTCATGGCTGCTCTCGTCAATAGTGCTCCGTATGCCGTGGAAACGCTAATGAACAGGCCAGCTGCCTCGGTGAAGGACCATCCTCGCGGAACTGGCAGCATTGTCCATTCTCCCGCCACACATTTCGTGGCAAACGCCCCTTTCGTGACGCCAAAGACCCGAGAGCCCTTGTGAAATTTAGGATTCTTGACTCCCAGGGGTGTCGAAACAATGACGCCCGAAAATTCAACGCCAGCTGTCCACGGCAAAGCTAGCAATACTGTTAATCAGCTATCGAGGGCGCGACGCAGGCCGCTGCAAACGCGTTGGATGTTGAGTGGGCTTACGAGGCTGGCTTTGGTACTTTCCAGCGATTTGGAGGACTTCAAAGAAATTGGCCGCTACGGCGTGTACTTCCACAAGATACTCGTGATCATTGGGCACTGGCTCTGG